GATTTGTAGTTGCAGTTTGCACTTCAGGGCCACCGTATTTAACAAATCAATTTTATCTACAAATATGCATCTGTGAAAAAATTAAAACTTGTCAAGTAACTTAAATAAGTCTGCAGAATTAGGTAAGATCCGTCACACATCTGTGTTTCTCCCAAAATTAAGAACAATCATGGTTGATCAATCAGTGCACCCCTAATAATGTTATTTATCCTGTTAATTTATTGTTTATTTGATAGATGTGTGAAGAAGTAAAAAGTAAAAAGTGGCTATTTTTCAGTTTGTATTGCACACATTTTCTGCTTTTATCGTTAGAAGAAGCTGCTAATTAGCTGAGCTATCTGCTCACAGAGCTCCAACTTTAATCTTATAAACAGTCATTTTTCCCTGTAAATGTTCTGGATATTTTGCTCTGCATGAATAAAATCACCTTTAAGGTTTTATATTCACCTGTGTTTTCCTTCTGAAATATTTCCACCCAGATCATCTAATATAAGAAAAAATAGGAACCTTTAAATCAGCCAGCTGACCGACAGTGTGCAGCAACATGGGAGAGCAACATTATAGTGCAGCTCTGTTTACCGTCAGCCTGGGAAAACTCTGGATTCTGCTTCATTAAATGACAGGAACAATTCGGAAACTGTTCCACATTAAAACTAGAGATGAACCGATACGTCAGCCGGCCGATATTCTGGGCCGATATTAGAGGGGATTTTACCGTTTGTTATTAGCGCAGCCATGCCGAAACCTCTCCATTTGCTATTGATTCTTAATGTTTTGTTAATAAAATGTTCGTTTTAGTGTCAGCAGTTGTTTCCATTGTGTTATTTTTATCGTCTAAATCGAGAAAAAAAAACAATATCGGCTTCAAGAAAAACAGAACTGGCGGTATTCTGTCAGATTAGCATACCCCGTCAGACCGGTATACCTATCGTCAATACGCATGCGCAAGAAATCAGATATGCTAGCCTCATCCCTTTAGTTTTGTACAAAAAATAGACTTTAAACTAAACTAAACTACAATTTAAATTCAGATCGTTACACAATTCAAAAAACACCAAAATGTAAGTAATTAAATTACTTTTTGTACATGATTAAAGGGATACACGACCGTTGAGGTAGCTTAAAGTGCGTTTTTCATACAAAAATAAAGGGATAAACAGGTATTGACTATGCTGGTCTGACAGAACAGCAGCACATATCAGTCAAAAATAATCGGTATCTGCCTTAAAAACCTGAATCAGTCGATCTCTACGTTAAAAAGTGTTTCGATATAGAGCAATCCAATGCCTCTTCTCGATATGTTACAAGAAAAAAAAATCCAGACCACCCCCCCACCAACACACCTTTTTTTCTTATAATCTTTTCTAAGAGTCTCAAGCTTTTTGCTTTTTGCATTTTTCTCTACAGTCTGAGGTCCAGCAGGTCTTTCTAAGTTAGGCAACATGTTGCAATTCAGACTACATATAAATCAAAACCTTTAGAGCAACACTTTTCCATAAAAAGATTGAACATTATTTATATATTCATTATGATGCCAGTCAAGTGCCAAAATAACAGTAATTTTTTTTTTTAAATAATAGATCATTTCATAGTTATTAATGTGTCATAGTTAATGAATCATAAAAGAAATCCATAAATAATAACAATAAGTTGATAACTTAAATGAAAATACCCTTTATAAAAGTATTTATGTCGTACTAATATAATTTTGCTACTCCACATTGTGAGTCAGTACTTTATGGGAGTCCTGAGAAAAAGTCGATGGTCTGCAGTTAAAATAGACAATTATTCTGATATTTAAGATTATTTGAAAATGCAAAGAGGCATTAAAAGGTTAACATGACATTTAGCAGAAAATGGATATGAATAATACTTATTTTATTACTTATATCATCCATATACTTATAATCCAGTAGGATATTCAGACTCTCCCCAGCAACACTCTGGCTCATTAGCCAGGAGATCACAGAGCAGAAGGGATTGGCTAAAGTCCGGCAAGGAGTCCTGGGTCTGTAGCCACGTTTAACGCCACAGATAACTACCGACTTACATGATGTATCATTTATTTCAACCTCATAATAACTTCTAAAAGCTTTTATTCAAAGAGGTGTCTATGGGGTGAAGATCGTTCAAATTTAGTTGCAGGCAAAGAACATGTTTTGTAATAAAAAAATATTATTTTTTATCCTTTTTAAATGTGTTAAATGTTATCTTTTTCAACATTTTTCACATTTTATTTTGAGATTTTACATTTTTAAATGTTATTTTACTCTTTTTTCCAATTTCCAAATGCAATTTTCTTCCATTTACAAAAATTTGCTTGCAACAATAGTGGAATAAAGTTCTCTCCATCTATCCCTGACATATACGGGAGAGGATTAGGGCCACTGGAAAAAAAATAAAGTTAACTGACTTTTAAATTTTATTTTGGTATAATATGAGGAAAAAGTCAGAATTCTGACTTCAATCTCAAAATTCGGACAACTAACAAACATGTTAGCATCAAGCTGTAGCCATGTCTGTTTTAGAGACTAAACTAGCTCTCTTGCTTTAATCACCTTCTGCTCTTCCATTAATGAAACAACATCACCAGGGACCCTTCATGGAAGTAAAATGTCACCTAATTGCGTAATTTTCCACCTGTGTTCCTGTTTCTCCCAAACAACTCAGATCTTTGTCAGTGAAGCTGAGCGCTCCACATCTCTGCCTTCATGGTGCTTATCTACATTATCCACAATTCTGAGAATTAATTCAGAATTCTAAGAAAAAAGTCAGAATTATGAGAAAAAGTCAGAATTCTAAGAAAAATGTTCGGATTGTGAGAAAAAGTCAGATTTGTGATATTAAAGTCAGAATTGTGAGGAAAATGGTCATAATCCTGACCTTTTTTCACATTTTAAACTGAAATATTGTTATAATTAATTATATTTATTGTTATATTGTTATAATTATATAATAATTTGAAAATCAGTTAACTTTTTTCCCGGTGGTTCTTATCCTCTTCCGTAGACATATTTCCATTTCATTTCAAAGTGTTTTATTTATAAACACGTATCTATTAATTTTAGGTGATATAAATGTGTCACCTCTGGCCCTCCATACCAGCAGGACAGACGCTGACTTTCAGGCCAGTTTAAAGCCACTAACCTCCATCTGCGTAGGTTTCCGTCCCGTATCCATCCTGTAGTCCGTTATTCCAGGTTCCTTCGTACCTCGCGCCGCTGCCCACGCTGACCCGGACCCCGTACCTCCCTTTGAAGCCATGGGTCCATTCTCCTCTGTAGATCCAGTGTCCTTTGGTTTCCACCCCCAGCCCGTGGCGCTTGCCCTGTGACCAGTAGCCCTCATAGGTGTTCCCGCTGGGCCAGGTGTAGACCCCGACCACCTCGAAGCCGTAGTTCCAGGAGCCCGAATACTCCCCCTGGCCCTTGGGTCCGGTGCAGATTCCGTGGCCGTGGGCTTTGCCCCCCTCCCAGCCCCCACAGTAAGCCCCACCGTCGTCAAACTCGAAGCGACCACCGCTCATTCCGAAGACGCACAAATCCCAAAAACTAAGGAAGGGAGGTTTCTAAAGTTTCCTTTTACCTGTCCGGAGATAATGACGTCACTTTCACCTGACATTCAGGTGTGAGATGAACTTCAGAGGGTTTGTTCTGTGGTGATCTCCATGGAGCTGCTGAGCTGTCTGTTTAATCCAGGGATGGATCATCCATGAAGCTCATTCTTTGTTGGGATTTATGGAGGAATTAGGATTTTTGTGTCTGGATTAGCCAGAGATCTTACATGGCTTTCTCAGGTGGCTTCCCCCCCGTCCCTGCCACCCAGCTACCTCCTGACAGCCGCTGCACTTCAGCAAACCTAACAAGGCGACCAATCCACAAACACACACCGCCTTCCAAAAATACAACCCAATCCTTGACTTCGCTGCTGGGAAGGAGTCCTGCCAGAGTCTGAAGTAGCTGCATGCCTTCCTGCTCCCTGCTGTCCAACTGCACACATTTTATCCCCGGACACGCGGCTAAAATAGATAAATAAATAAAAAAGATGCGCGCAGAGATCCTCTTTTCAGCTGGAAAATGTGCGCAAATCAAACCACGCATTCCTTAATCCTCTTAAAATCATTTTGGATAAAAGATTTATGAAAATAATCTTATAAATTTGGTTTATTGTCCTTATAAGTAAATATTATAGAGGATTTAAAATGCATTGAATAAATTTTGATCTTTAAATTGCGATGCAATTAGTTTAGTATGACAAAAACATAAAATATAATATGAAACCTGCAAAAGTAAAAAAAGGAAGTATTAATTTCGCCCCCTGCTGGACACTTTAAAAAATACAATAAAATACCAATAAATCCTCTGATTTTATTAATTTATTAACTAGTGTCCAAAACTTGTACCAGAGTAGAAAATTTTAATCATATTTTTACTCAAATGAAACTAAAAATGTGTTTGATAGAAATTCTCCTCTATTACTGAGTAACTGATCTACTTTCTAACCGATTTAATATTTAACACATGATGTAAACGTCACGTAAATTCTAGTTTTATTATACAATGAGATAGAAAATAAATATAACATGCAGTTTTTACACAATAAGGATTTTAGGTGGGAAAAAACTAATTAAGAGACACATTTGGAGTTAGAAAACGTCCTAAATCCATTGTTGCAGCATGTTTTATGCATATAAATTGGTGGTATTAAACCAATACACTTTAAATTAACTCTATTGCTCTCTGGTGCAATCTATGGGGTAAATTGTGTTCCATTATTTTGCAAACAAACAGCAGGTTTTGTAAGTGGAAATTTAACCAGAAATATAACGTTTATAAATGTTATAATTCAAAATAAAGGTTTTAACAGTATCTTTGTTGTTTACTTACTTTTTTCCATCATCTAATTTAATGATGAAATTATTTTTTTTCAAGAGTTTTTTTTTTACAGATTTTAAATTTTTTACATTTTCTTTCTCAATTTTTTCTTTTTCACACTCAGTTTTATGAATTGCATTATTTTCTGTGTTCTATAAAGTAAATATTCACAAAATAAAAATCTATGATAATATTTTGATTGTTCCATGTCTGATTTATTGCATAAAACAGTACTATTATTAATTCAATTTCAATTCAGTTTATTTCTATAGCACCAATTCACAACACGTTATCTTTCCAGTTCACCAGATCATCCAGTCAGATTGATTCACAGTTTTTATCTAAAGAAAACCAGCGGATTGCATCGACTCTTTGACTCGAAGGCAATCCCTCACACTAAGCATGCTTGTAGCGACAGTGGAGAGGAAAAACTCCCTTTGAACAGGAAGAAACTTCCAGCAGAACCAGGCTCAGTGTGAGCGGCCATCTGCTGAGGCCCACTGGGGTTCAAGGAGACAGAAGCAGACATAGAAAAAGAAGC